CAGAAGCAGAAGAAACAGGAAAGGCAGCTCAGAGCAAATTCTCTTCAATGTAGAATCTGCAGCTCTTACTGCCCCCTTTTTAAGATGAATGAGCACGGGTTAAATTACGAAAAGACACCTTGTCTAGAGAACCTGACGTGGCATTTAGTGACAAACCTGTATCTGTTAACAAAGATGTGAGCAAAAGTTCTTACATTTATCCAAAGTTGCACAAAAATAGACTTATAGTACCATCGTCTGACTCCTTTTGGTGAGTTGCTTTTGATTTATCAGGGCGTTTCAACCTTTCCTGAAAATATTGATCTAGCCTTCACCTAGGTCTGTCACAATTTCCAGTTCCATTCAATTCAGTTTTATTTATACAGCGCCAATTCATACCAGAGGTTATCTCATTGCACTTTTCATAGAACTTTTCAAGTTGACATATACTGATTGCTTGTTCAGAACCCAACGGTAATTAATTTTTTTGTCATTTTGTGAAGCTGGAACCAGTGAATTTTTAGCATTTTTGCTTAAAAATAGCGTAAAAGTAATTGTAGCAGATCCATTTGACAATTATTTAATTGTTTCTGCTCTTCCTTCAGCCAGTCAGCAATAGTTTGCGCGCAGGCTCCAATTGGATCGAGCTTCAAAACATAAGGAGGGCTTTGCCAACGTTTTTACAGTGAGCAGTTACAGTCAGTTGTGTTAGACAGGTGCCACTGCAGAGCATTGAGACAGGTCTCCTCCACAGTCTTACATAGCAAATTCACATTCACACACAAAACCATCAAAACGTTAGAGATCAACAATCCAGAGTGCCTGAGTGTGACGTTCTCAGACATTAAAGTCCGCCCTTCAGTGATAAGGCTGAGCAGGTCAAGACTCTCACAGTACAGTGAGGCAAGTATATTGATACTACTCACTTAACTCTGTGTACTTTGCACTTCCTTAAAATGTTTCTTCTGTTATAGCCCTGGGCAAACTGACAAGGAACCGAATCTGATGGGCTTGCCTCAGTAAACATGGTGAAATGTAGTGTGAACTGAGATTGTCCTCACTTCTCTCTGGACTAAACACAGCCAGTGGTGTCCTTTTTGTAAAAGGGTCATGCATGCCCTTAAGCTCAACTGCACATCAGAAAGTGGCATCTACGTTTATATAAGACGGGTTTATATTTTGAAGACCTGTTCAGTGCATTTAAAAAAATTTTTTTTTTTATGATTATAGGATTATTAGTTTAAAAAAAAAAAAGTTTAATTGTCGCGTATCCAGGTTGCTCGTTATGTTCCACCGATCAACAGTCATAAGCACCTCACATTAGAGGAAGTGGAACCAGATAATATCTATAATTATGCTCGATTAATAACTAAACTAGGGCTGCACAAGTATTTGATGTCGATTGATGAATAGCTAATTGTTTCAGCACTAGTTAGAAACGATATAACATGCAACTCACCACCTACTGCCAGTAATAAATATATAAAGCCTAATTAGACATGCATTGCATACATGCAAGTATTTTCACACAGTTGGAGCATAGTATTTTAAAGACATTCTGCTTGTGCATTTATATCATGCATGAGAAAATATTATTCTGCGTTGGGGGAGGCTACGCCATTGTCTGTTCTAAAAACAATCTGGCGATATAACTGTGCCAAATTGGCTCTGCCCTGGATCAGCTTTTAGCTTTGATGAATAAGCCTCGTAGCTCCCTGCTTCTCTGTACATGAGTGTATCTACTGCTGTAGAACTGTTACATGGAGGACTATTTCTCAGACACACACACACACACACACAAGTGGAAAGGAAGGTCACTCATATTTCCCTGGCAGAAGGCTGGCACACTTGTGTTTACATTTCAGTCCGTACACCCCCATCACTATAGCAACTCATTTTCCTATTTTGTCATACTATGTGGGTGTTTCAGTCATTTCAATTCTTTGTAATGTGCAGGAATAACATCCCTTTTGGCTAGATGTAAATGATGAAGCTCGAAAACGTAAGGAAGCCATTAATATTACATTTTTATTGGGCATTTTTGGCTTTGTGATGGCACCAAGTTGCAGTGTGTTGCAACGATTTGAGATGACTTCCAGAAATTCTTGGAAGCTGGCAGTAGCAATTTGCTTATTTTGGCAGTAGATGGTGAGTTGGACTTGGTTTTGATGTCTAGCCATACCCAAAACCAGACTATTAAATTGTCATTCTTTGTAACAGACTTCAAAATAGGTGAATTTGTGTCATTACCTTAAAACCTCAATGTGCTTTAATGATCAAGAGGCTGTATAATTTTGTCTAACACTAAAAATAACAAAAAATAATGTGAATGTATTAGTCACAGCACCTGAGGGCAACTCCAGACATCGTCTTATTCCCATTTTACTGGATTTTAAAAACAATACTGAGATGATGGCTTTTTGGAGTTAAAGTCGGCACACAGGATGCAAGTTTTAGACACTAGTGTGGAAATTCAAAATATCTTTGGCTGAGTGAGCAATATGGAAGTTGAAACAGCCATCACGCCAGTAAAAAGGGCCAGAAATTCAGCAGTGGACATGTCTGTGCCTGTGCGGAGGATGTGTCTCATCTCAGGCCTGGCCAAGATTTGACAAGGAACTGAACAATTAGTCTGCTGGGTGTAGACACACTCGGTCTACATTTTTACACATAACAGTAACTCCTTTTGTTAGTTTGTATTGCCTTTTGTGTAATTTGGACAACAGGATTTTGGATAATAATAACTTTATAATTGTAATACAATTCCACTAAATGATGATATTTAATTATCATCCTGTCCTACTCTCAAACCCCTAATACACACCTGAACCTGCCAGCAGCTAGAAAACTATTGTTTCAGCAACAACCGAAAAAAATTAGAAGCATGCAGAGTAGACCTTAATCTATTTCTCTCCAAAGATCGCAGGGATCATGTTAATACTTGTTGATGCAAATGAGTAAGCGGTAAGCATCATGCCTAGAAGAAAAGGCCTGCAAGGCAAAAACGTAGGCTGATTTACACCACCTCTTTCCACTCTTTATGCCAAAGGGCATGCTGGTATTTCTTTTCTGTTTACATCTGCTCATACACAGGAGTGTTCAAGTGCTGTAGAGCCCCGTTTCTTCATATTCTTTAAACTAATGGCCGACACTCATGAAAAGATTAGTGAGTAGTAACAGCAAATGTGTTTTTCCAGTCTGCACGTTGTTGATAATTGATCCACCCTTTTCAGTTTTTATCAGATACTTTGCATAATGAGCAAAACCTTTCCTTTTACTCTGCTATCAAATATACTGCTAAAAATCTCTGCTTTGAAAAACAGGATTGACAGTAGATCACCTTTGATGTGAAGTATGCATGAAGTGAAAGGCACATACCTCCTAATCTTTGTGCATTAACCTTCTGTTCTTGCTCTGAGTCTGGCTTTAATGTGAAATCTGCCAGACTCAGTCATTCCATGCATGCAAACATTCTTTATCATTTCCTGTATATGTTATGTTATGCTTTTCTTTACTGGATTTCAGATGCCAGTATTCAAAACGGAGCTGCACTGCCTTCTAATATTAAAACCTCTGACCCTCAACAAGACAAATTGTCACGTCTCAGGCATTACTGAGAAGTAAATCTGCAATTCATAGAGTTTTACTAAATATTTTGTCTCTTTGTTTGAGTGTGCGTGTAGAATTGTCACATGTATGTACATAAAAAAGGATACAAACAGCGGTCAGCCTCTCATGTTTTCAGTGAAATCCTGGAGTCTGAAAATGAAATTTCCATGTATTCTTTCAAAAAAATATTGAAACTGAATAAGATACAACTCTAGGACATGTCATGAATCTTAGATTATTTATATATTTACTATATACTAGAAACTATATTTATAATTTATGAAAAAATAAGCTTTTAACTTGATAACTAACAAAGTGCCTTCCTCCAGTAGGATTTAGTGACCAATTAGACACCACCAGAGGTTATGTCATGCTAACTGTTTTAGTGTATTTCAAAGCATTCTTCTGTAAAGCAAATTGTTACTGTTGGACTTCTCGTTTCGTTGTGTGTTCACAAATGAACAATATTCTACAGGGAGGGCTTGTGATTATTTTTACTTTTTACCTTTTAAAAACATTGAATGTCAGGGCTGCATTTAAACAAAGACATTATTCAAGCTCCATTTTTTCGCTCCCAAGTCGCTTTACACTTTGCACTGTGGTAGTTTAGTCATAAAACGTGTGGGAAACCAGAGTGGGGTAAGCTTATCTTGATTAGGACGTGCCAGCTCTTGACTCTTTCTCTCGGGTTTCATGTAGCACACTTTGGGTGCACTGTGGTGTGGCAAGCAGTGGCATGGCTCGATCACTGCATCTCCTCAGCAGGGCATTATTGGTAGGGAGTGGTCTCTGAACTGAGTTGTGTCATTGTGCTAAACTGATGGATGTGGTCATAGGAGACATTTTTAAAAATCAGATATCCGTACTTACTTAGCTCGTGTGTGTGTGAAGTAAAATGTTCTGTGGTTGGGAGTTTTTTATTTAACAAATACTGCAGCAGACTCACTTTTGTTTTTTTTGCTGCACAATGTATCAGAGGTGTATTTGCCTTGTTAAGATACTGCTAATGCAAAATATTTCCTACTGTCACTACTTCATATTAAAAGCTTTCCACTGGCAAACCACAGGAAGGAAGCAGTATTTGTCACAGAGGCACCTGGCTGCTGCTGTTCAATAAAACTTGGTCTGCCAAGCAAGATATGATGTCGGCAGATCTATTTAAAATGTTCTAGTGAAGAGGTGATAGACGCTTACTGCAGTTACTCCAAAATGTCATCAAGCTTAGCAGCACAGAAGAGTGTGTACAAAATGGAAAAGGAAGTAAAAACTTTAGTGTCACTATTTCTGATTCAAAGGTGTTGGTTTAAGATTGAATGGGATTAAAAATCATGTCAGCTCATGATAAATATTTTACTCCTTCAACATTTGATGTCTAATTGTTGGCTTTTGTGTCCTACTTTTAAATAATCCAGCTCTGCCTACGACCGGGACAACAAGATACGTGTGGCCATTAAGAAGATCAGCCCCTTTGAGCACCAGACGTACTGCCAACGCACCCTGAGAGAGATCAAAATCCTTCTGCGCTTCAAACATGAGAACATCATCGGAATCAATGACATCATCCGCACACCAACCATTGACCAGATGAAGGATGTGTATCCTTTTACATACACTCCTCATGATTTGGAGAACGTCTGATATGTTCTAATGTGTTTTATGTGTGTTCATTTTAATTTATGGCCTTCATGTGGGGCCTTAATGGCATTAATAATATTTATATTTCTGCTTTTATACTAATGTATTTAAAACATTTAAAATGACTTCTTTGTGTTACCAGTGAGGCTGGTCTTACACTTCAGCATTTGTAGTTGAATACGGCTTTTCAGTTGTATTTTTATTACATAACAGCCACCTGTCACCATACATTTGGCAGGGAAGCTCTTCACTGTATCCCAGCAGTAACAGTTGCAAACTGGTCGAGTCACGGTGTCAGTTTCATAATGCAGCATGTCTAATTTTACACTCTGCATTAACTAAAATAAATGGCTGTGGATAGGGATGGGGATCGTTAATTTTTATTGATATTGATACCATTATTGAGACTGCCTAACGATCGGAGTCTTTATCGATACTTTACTATTATTAGGTAACGGTTATTTGGTAATACCAGACCCAACAGGCATGAGGTAGGCCTGCACGGCATGAGGAAAATATTTAATGTGCAGTAACATTGTTAAATATTGAGATAACACATGACTTGCGATAAATAAACAAATATTGCAGTGTGCATATTAACTGCCTGGTTGTTTCAAAATTAATTATATAGGATTAGACTTTAATATTTTACATATAACTGTTGTTTCCAGATCAGCAACATTGTTTAAAACAGCAAATAAACTCAGTGTCTGACATCACAATACTGAGTGACGTTCAGAAAGAATGAAGAACTCAATCAGCATCAGTCCCTCCTCCTCCTCCTCCCTGCTGTTATACACTACCTGCCAGGAGTTTACATAAATGTGCCAGATTTTAAGACCACAGACCAGTCTATGCTACAGACAGCCTTCAGTTTAGCTTGTTTGTACCATTTGGCTAACGGCAAGCTAACGTTAGCCGTGCTTGTATTAAACATACAGGATGAGAGACTGAGGTCAGAGATGATTAAATAAACCCTTTCTACATGTTTACTCTACACACAGGTGTATTGATATAGTGATGTATTTTTACTCTTTATTGCACGTACTAACAGTAACGAGAGTAGCTAACTTGACTTCACCGTCTCCACCGTGACAGAGTGGCGTCTCTCTCTGCTTGCTGCTGTGTGTGTGTGCGTCCCGTTTAATACCGCATTTCGGTGTCTTCATTAGAGACATTAGTGCACATGAGCCAACGTGCATGCAGCCTGTTGCAGTTGCTCCGTCGTTCATCATCTTATTTTCTAACTTTTAACTTTCTTTTTTATATCTCGTGTGTGAATTTTGGTCTATCACCATAATAATTCTTAATAATGTAAATATTGTACATACCCACACTCCTTTTTATATTTTATATTTATACTCTTATATTTATACACTCTATCTATCTACCTTGACAAGTGTGCAATTGTGACAAAAGAATTTCCCCTTGGGGATCAATAAAGTATTTCTGATTAGTTGCACAACATAATGTTACATTATAGGACCCGCTAGTCTCGATAGCAGTATTGATAAACTCGGACCTTATTGATTTTTCGTGTTTTGAGGAATTTTGGAACCGGGTCCTTTTTAGAACCGGGTATCGATCCCCATCCCTAGCTATGGCTGAAGCCCCCAGCTAGTCAGATGAGCGTTCATATCTTCTTTCCTACTAGTAATGTCACGATACTTGAATTTCTGGAACTTCGATACACTACCTTGAAAAATATCGATATTCAATACCATTTTCGATACCACGGGGGGAAATTTACGCAACATTGATTAAATTACTGAATATAATTACTGAATTATGTTATGAACTTATCTTAGTAAGTAAAGTTCATAGTATTGGGTGTTTGAGACGAACCGTATCAGTTAATTTACTTCTTATCAACTGAAACTCTGCTGTCTGAGATTCCTCAGGTCTGATAGCTCTGAGGGGAATTAGTTTAGTTTTGAGAATTATAAATGTCTGTTAGGCCAACAACAGGACAACTATCAACAACTGTTTACTGGGCCATCTTGTTTAAAACTTTAATGATGTATTAAGGGGAGTTTTTTATAGAGGACAGCGTGTTGGTCCTGCAGGTCCTTTGCTCTTTCATTAGCACCGCTCTGTACCTCCCACTTTCATGTGATTCAAACGGAGCGAATGTGACGAGAAGTTAGCGCTGTGAGTGACAGGAGGCGGGGCTGTGTGGGCATTGCAGCGGTGTGTGTATCAGCTCGCTGTCGGGGAGAAGAGAAGCACATTTTTGGGATCGATACTGTGGAAAGTTATTATTTAATTCAGAGTCAATATGTATCAAAATCTGTATTTTTGACAACACTGTTACCTACATAGAAATGAGGGCCACATGGACCAAACATGGTTTCACTATGTTGTAGCTGCAAGAGCACCTGCTCATTTATCCAACCGTGATACCTCTGGGACTGTGAGATTTGACTTTGACTGAGTTGCCCAAAAGTTTAATCTTCTAAGTCTAATCTAAGTCTAATCTCAGCAGGTGTGGCTGTCTTTTCGTGGCACTGCCAACCTGCTGTAACGTCCAACTGTCTGAGCTAAAGCTTTGCAATGCCAACAAAATCCAATTTGAGTGTGCCAGTAAATGTGTTGTTCAGTGTCGTACTTAGGGGTTGACAGCAGCCTGTATGAAGGAATGAATCTATCGAAGATATTGATATGAACAAAATTCGGTCTGTGATTATTTTTGAAGACATAAATGTTCAGTTGGGAATAAAAATGTGACTCATATGGATGGGACAAAGCTATGTAGTACTACTTTAACCCGGCACTGTGTAGATATATTGTCCAGGATCTCATGGAGACAGACTTGTACAAGCTCCTGAAGACTCAACACCTGAGCAACGACCACATCTGCTACTTCCTCTACCAGATCCTGCGAGGGCTCAAGTACATCCACTCTGCCAACGTCCTGCACCGCGACCTGAAGCCCTCCAACCTTCTGCTCAACACCACCTGTGATCTCAAGGTAATATCTCAGAGAAATTAAAACACATTCGGCTGATATTAATGCTTTATTATATTCTAATACATAGTTTATTTCATATTTAATATTCGTCAGTTATTCTCATGCCAGAAGTTACCAGCACTCAGTCTGATCCTCGTAAATAAAATACATGTGGGAAGGCTTTTTAAGCCTGAATTTAACTAGTTTTAGGTGTAAATACAGGCCGAGAAAAAGAAATACACTCATGTCTACAGCGTTTGTATTAACAAAAAAGAATCAGTTAACATACTAAATGTGCAAACAAATGTTTTGTTACACCTGCTACTAGCTATTATCATGTTGGAGGAGAACAGCATGAAAACTGATACCTCAATAAAGACCACACAGTGCATCTTTCTTTCCATTCTGTTTGGATGGTTTTAAGCTGCCAATGAAATGACCTCAAGCTTTTTTTGGTCTTGTTTTTGTGGTCTTTGGTCTGATGTCGCAGTCATTCATTGTCTTGTCATTCATCTGTCTGCAGATTTGTGATTTTGGTTTGGCTCGTGTGGCTGATCCTGACCACGATCACACTGGTTTCCTAACAGAGTACGTAGCCACTCGTTGGTACCGAGCACCTGAGATCATGCTCAACTCCAAGGTGAGTGTCTTCACCTGCCGTGAAATGTTGATACGTCAGCAGGATGACAGAATATGTTTTGAGGATTCCTTGTTTGTTTTGCCTCTTTATATTTTAACAAATCTCCCTGACACCTGGAAATTTGATCTGTTTTCAGTCATGCATTTTATTTTGCAAAGTTATATATTTTGGCAAAAGCATACTGAATATGCTCAAGCAATTTTTGTATTTTTTGACCTTACTTTAGCTGTGTCTTAAATTTAGGTTCAGGTTAGATGAGAGTGCTCTTAAATGTTTGATTCTACTTTAAGTCTTCGCTTCCTGTATATAATAGTTAAACAGTAAGAAGAATGAAGCTCTAACGCATGGGGCGGGAATCTTTAGGCACCTCACCATTTGATTCGATTGCAATTATAAAACAGTATGCATCGATGCATCTTTTGTGATTTCTGGATAATTACTAAGAATTTAATTTGCACATTAAAATCCAAAAGAAACTTCTCCTCATTAGCTTAAAACAACTACTTTGCACCCCTAATTTACTCTACTAGCCTCAGCTCCTCAGTTGTCACCACCATCATTTCTTTAACAACCTTTTTTTTCCCTCTGAAAACTGAAATATGATTTAACGATCAGGATGTACAGTATGTGTACAGTACAGAGCTCTCTACCAGTTTAACTTGTACTTGATGTTAACACTGGACAAGTAGGTAACGTTAGTAATGACACGCAACAAATTAACATTGCTTCTTTACTAATTTAGCTAGTTACATTGCAGCCAAAAAACGTGCTGTAAGTTACAGGGGAGATGTTTGCTAGTGCTAACCGACCGTCACTTTTCCAGCAGATGCTGAAGCAACAGACTTTATTAACAGACATACTGTGACCTACACTGTACATTCATACTAAGTAACTAGTGTTTTCCGACGCTAACTTTCACCATGAAGTTCTGCCTCTCACTCTCTTTCATTCACTTACCCACACACTCGCTACACACACACAGGATACACAGAGAACTAGCCAAGCGTCGAATGTTGATGTGCTCAAACAGTGTGCGGGTGGTCATTAATTCAGTAGCAGATAACTGGTCTGACACCATTCAAAGATATCACTGTCTCTTTTGTGTGCCCCTGACTGTCTGGGCGCGCTGTACTTCCAAGATTTCAGTGAACATAAGTTATCAATCAACATTTAGAAAATTGATTTTTGACATTTGTTTATAGGGCTGAACAATTTGGGTAAAAAATTCAAATTGCGATTTTTCTGCCAGATATTGCGATTATGATTTGATATTTTTTTTGTATTGAAGTTTTGCTAAATTTCAATATTCACTGCCAGTGTATTTTTGACTGAAGCCACGTCAAGCAGCGCAGATCAGACGAACCCGGGAGGAAGTCAGTTAAAACGGACCAGAAAAAGAAACAATTTAACTACATAGCTACTTAGTAGAAGCACAAAAATCAAGGACAACTGAACTAATAAGCCAAAATCTTAACAAGTCAGCAAAATCAGACGGGCAAAACGCTCTTATTCTGAAATGCTCCATTACGTTGACTTTAGATATACTGTAGTCATGGCTGTGTCTTTGTGTTCCTCCATCTCAGGGCTATACCAAGTCCATAGACATCTGGTCAGTGGGTTGCATCCTGGCTGAGATGTTGTCCAACAGGCCAATCTTTCCTGGGAAGCACTACTTGGATCAGCTTAACCACATTTTGGGTAATAATTTTATACTTTTATATCCTGTGTAGGATTTAGGATTGGTGTGGTACTGTAGTATTGTTGTTTAAACAGTCAGTGACCCCAGCAGAACTGCTCAGTGTTTATATGTAAGAATCCGTTTGAAGAAGGTGGTTAACATCTTGCTCATACATTTCTTGTAAACTTCTCCCTCTCTGAAATAAATATACATGGAGAATTAAGAACAAATGTTGTAGTAAGATAACGTTTAATATGGTGTCATTTGTGTTTTAAGAGCAAGTGCTAAAATGGTCAGATTATAAAACCTACCATCATTTGTGTAAACTTGTGTTTTCAAGTAAATAAGGTTTCGTCAACAAAAACAAGATGGTTTCAGGAAGTTTTACATAGGAGTTTAGAGGTTTATTCCAGTCAAATTTTAATTGTATTCATTGTTTAAATACTATACAGATTTTCTTAATAATTATCATATTCTGAGTCACTAATAGTTGTGATTGAAGATATTCACCTCCTGAAATAATTGTGTTTGTCGTAAATGTCAATACACAATACTGCTATTGTGCCTTTCTCTCTCTCGATTATAGATATTTACAGTAAGTGTGATGGTCATAGCATCAGTAACTTCATGTTTTCCTTTAAGTTAAGACAAATGTGAATCTTTTGCAAAATCTAATGTCAGTTTAGTCTGCATGAAAGATGTGACAACTTTATGTGAAATTTCACCTTCTCTCTCAGTAACAACCACTTCCTGGTGTTGGAGTCCATAGATACCATAACTGTTAATATGCATTTGTCAAGTCATACTTTTTGTGTCTTGGTGCTAGACCACATATTGCTTCTCCCATCTGTCATTTTGTTGTGCGTTCAGACTGTTGTAGTTTTAGCTCAAGAAAACTTCCCCACATAACTGAAAACTTGAACGAGTGTGCGCTTGCAATCTGTCACATACAGAATCAGAAAGTAATTCTTCTTTACAATCTTCTCTTTGTGCTTCAGGGATCCTGGGTTCTCCCTCTCAGGAGGATCTCAACTGCATCATCAACATTAAGGCCAGGAACTATCTTTTGTCGCTGCCTTTGCGCTGCAAGGTGCCGTGGAACCGCCTCTTCCCCAACGCTGATCCCAAAGGTCAGAGCTAAGACAAACATGATTCCCACATATCATGGAATTTCTAGAGATTGCACTCTAGACAAGGGAGAGTTATTCCCGCTAAACAATTTCCTGAGAAAATTCCTGGACAGAATATCATTTTATTTGGGGCACAGGTGGCACAGAGACAAAACACTTAGCCAACACCACAGCAGTCAAACAAAATGGAAGCTGGTGATGAACACACAAACTAAATCCATGGAGGCAAAACAAAAAGCAGTTTGTGGGGACTCGTGCAAAGTACTATGGCCAAAGCTTGTTCTCGCAGAGGGACATGCAATAAACGTACCCGATTGTTGTCATCACACAGTGTGAAGGCGCCTTAAGTCAGATGCAATAATTTTCTAGTAATAGAGCAGCTTGGACAGGAGGCAGGTGCCACATAGGCTATATTTAATCCCAAATAGTTAGGTATTTTAACGGATTAGGAAAATTAAACTGCAGTTCTTTCATCAATAGTTGGTCAGTTTTAAGGTTTGCTTGATAGATTTCTCTCTAAAAATAGATTGCATGCAACCTTTTCTCTTCCATTCTAATTTCAGGCTATCAAACTAGATTATATTGATTTTAAACACGCAGCAGCCAACATATTAGTCCCAGACAGCTCTGAATTTCCTTAAATCATGAATGCCTTGTTAAATGTGTAAAATCAAAAATAAGAGTCTCATTTTATTACTTGGAAATAATCCAAACAGCACATAGGGTGTGATGTTGCCCTCTAGTGGACTGACATGCTCTCTCACCTAAATTAACCCCGTCTTTGCCCTGTTCGATGTTCTCACCCTTGTGCTGCAGCTCTGGACCTGTTGGACAAGATGTTGACCTTTAACCCTCACAAGAGGATCGAGGTGGAGGAGGCCCTGGCGCACCCCTACCTGGAACAATATTACGACCCCACAGATGAGGTAAGACCGTCATTCTGGGCTGTTGGATGTCAGCTCGCGTTATAGTCTATGGCAGTAAATGCGGCCTGTGGGCCAGAACTGGCCCGCCAGCAAAAATATCTGGCCTGCAGCCAGATTGCTTTGATAACAGCAAAATAAAAATAAATAAATTGATAGCAGCTGATGCTGAAATAGATCTGTCATGTCAGCAACAGTTACTCACATAATCACTTCCTCTTAATTGATTGTGCCTCCAAAATAAAAGCGCTAGAACTTTTTTGCAGCAATGCTTCATGTTGAGTTTATTGAGAGCTTTTACTTTGAAAAGTTCTGAAGAACATTCAAGGCTTGACACACCTCTGTAAAAGCCGCCAGTAAACGTGTGATTGGATTCCCCTGAATTTCCTCAGGGAAATGAAAATAAGGGTCCATAGGTTTATGAATGTGGATCAAACGCCAGGACGCACGCACACACACTGCAGCACATGCTTTAATGCGAGCATGTAAAAAAAGTGTCCTTAAAGGCTAATCAATTTGTTTAACAAGGGAGAAAAAAAAAGTCAGCCGGATTTTGGGATCGATCATACAACTCCTCCAACGTGAATCCTGAACTCTACCGACTAAGCTAAACATGCACATGAGTGTCCAAGGGTTTAAAATAATTTGACTGAAATAAGATTCTGGCCCGACACGTAACTGCTTGAAAAGAATTTGGCCCAATGTCAGACTTATTTGCCGACCCCTGGTCTATGGGCCTGTTTGGAATGAGGATACATAGTGTTTTGCTTATCAGGATATCATGTTCTGAATTTTTTTGCCATCCTTGCCATTATGTTCCTTACCTTTACATCAACATGTACTCTGTTTCCCTTTGTAGCCTGTTGCTGAGGCCCCGTTCAAGTTTGACATGGAGCTGGATGACCTACCCAAAGAGACACTGAAGGAGCTCATCTTTCAAGAAACTGCACGTTTCCAGCCCGGCTTTAGGTCCTAACATCTCAGACAGGTGAGTCCACATCACTGCAGTCCTACCTAGAACCTGAAAACCATTGACGTGAACTCAGGGGAGGGACAGTATTCAGAACTACAGGCACAGAACAGTATTACCATTAGCTGCGCTGAAGTCTGCGCTGAACAACCAGCTTTTCATGGTAAGAAAGATCAGGGTGATCCTCAACGCAGTCGGATGTTCCCACCTCCGCTGTTTCAAAAATGCAGTAGAGTCGAGTGTACATGATCAAAACTAGTAAAAAAAAAAAAAACAAAAAAACTGCGAGTGGTGTTAAAACTTTAAAAACTACTGATTCATTTGTGCTGAATTTAACAACTCTCCACTTATGAGCTGAAGTAAGAGACCCTACACAGTACACTATGATATAGATTTAAATTTAGATGTGTGCAGAGTGTGAAGTAGAGGTTCTTCACCAGGATAAAACCACTTTAAAAGCCATCTGTGTGAACTGGTACTTCAAAGGTACACCACCAAGTATAATTCTGCTTTATAGCTGTCAGTTTGCATCCACAGCAAAACCTGAAACAGTCCTTCATTTGTGTTTGTATGTAGATAGTTTAAGCCTCTGGAGGCAGAAACGGCATCTAATTTTAAGCATAACATATCCGGACAGTAATGTAACCCTAAGGTAACATGCTTCCTTTAACAACTGTGGCATTTTAAGGAAATTAAATAATTTTTGAACATTTTGATGGAACTTAAATGTTAAAACACATTAACTTCCATAATATGGAGAATTGCTCAAAAATGTTGTATTTTATTTCTGAATGGAATAATTTGGTAAGTAATGTTTAGGGTTGCGGCTCAAACCTCAGTACCTGCTCCAAGTATTTAAAATAGGACTGAAAATTAAATCGAAATATTATTGAAATCACAATTTGTGTCACAACATACCATTTATAAATGAGGCATTGTGGTGCTACAGAGAGACCCTGCCCTACAAATCATATTCTTCAGACTTAAGGGAACGTTTGTTTGGTACAGGCAGATCCCAACAAGAATCAAATCATCATCATTTTTATACTTTTTTGTTGTTGTTGAAAATAAAATGCAAAAATGACCATTCCCACTAAATTCATAACTTTTTTTTTGCTTATCGTTCAGCCCTAATTAAAAACTACAGATAGCTGGCATCCAAAGGCCTGATCAGATTCATAATCGTGTTAACTGTTTATTTTATCAGCCAGTACCTTAATATTTTCTGACCATTTTAGACTGTATTTTATTTAGCAATGTTTCTTTTTTAAACTTGTTTATATTTCTCTAGATAAGGTATCATAAAAACTATTATATTGGTACTAAAACTCAAAAGTTTTCAAACGGTAACCAGACCTAGTTTATGTTTTGTAAAGTATCTTCTTTGTTCTGTTTTAAAGGGAGCTGCTAGCTCATTCACGAATACAAATCCTATATGAAATACTATAGTCTGTGTTTAAGGGCTTTGCGTCAAATGTTACAACTAATGTGACTTTTTCATTCTGATAAGAATTTGCTTCTGCAGGAAAACCGAGTATGTTTTGCATGACAACGGTAATTGTTGCTGATGTTGAATGTAAACACAAAATACTGGTGCTCTTAATGTAAAAACAATATCAGTCAAATCCTTTTGGATGCAAAGTATACTATTAAAAAAACATAGATAAAAAAGCACTAGAAAATAACCTTGTAATTTCCCACACTAATGACACTCTTTAGAGGTGTCTTTCCCCCCTCTCTGCTAACCACCAGCTGCTCCCTGACAGGCCTCTTGTTGTGATGATAACTATCAGTGCTACATTTTATAGCCTATCATCCGCTCTGTGTCAGCATATATAATTACTGTTTCCTCTCTGTAGCTTTTCAATGTATATCATCAGTCTACTGAAAAGGAGCAGAGTGTGACCTCTCCTGAATTGACTGCCCTCTACACTGCCAGCAGTTTGTTGTTGCAGCTTTAAAATGTATTTCCTTCCTTATCTCAGCATCTGTAACTTGTGTTAATGGTTTCTAAAGTTAAATATACACTGCTCAAAAAAATAAAGGGAACACTAAAATAACACATCCTAGATCTGAATGAAAGAAATAATCTCATTAAATACGCTTTTCTTTACATAGTTGAATGTGCTGACAACAAAATCACACAAAAATTATCAATGGAAATCAAATTTATCAGCCCCTAATAGCAGTCAGGCTACCTCTGGCGAGCACATGGAGGGCTGTGCGGCCCCCCCAAAGAAATGCCACCCCACACCATTACTGACCCACCGCCAAACCGGTCATGCTGGAGGATGTTGCAGGCAGCAGAACGTTCTCCACGGCGTCTCCAGACTCTGTCACGTCTGTCACATGTGCTCAGTGTGAACCTGCTTTCATCTGTGAAGAGCACAGGGCACCAGTGGCGAATTTGCCAGTCTTGGTGTTTTCTGGCAAACGTCCTGCACGGTGTTGGGCTGTAAGCACAACCCCCACCTGCAGACGTCGGGCCCTCATACCACCCTCATGGAGGATATTTCTGACCGTTTGAGCAGACATATGCACATTTGTGGCCTGCTGGAGGTCATTTTGCAGGATTCTGGCAGTGCTCCTCCTGCTCCTCCTTGCACAAAGGCGGAGGTAGCGGGTCCTGCTGCTGGGTTGTTGCCCTCCTACGGCCTCCTCCACGTCTCCTGATTTACTGACTTGTCTCCTGGTAGCGCCTCCATGCTCTGGACACTACGCTGACAGACACGGGCAAACCTTCTTGCCACAGCTCACATTGATGTGCCATCCTGGATGAGCTGCACTACCTGAGCCACTTGTGTGGGTTGTAGACTCCGTCTCATGCTACCACTAGAGTGAAAGCACCGCCAGCATTCAAAAGTGACCAAAACATCAGCCAGGAAGCATAGGAACTGAGAAGTGGTCCTGCAGAACCACTCCTTTATTGGGGGTGTCTTGCTAATTGCCTATAATTTCCACCTGTTGTCTATTCCATTTGCAACAGCATGTGAAATTGATTGTCAATCAGTGTTGCTTCCTAAGTGGACAGTTTGATTTCACAGGAGTGTGATTGACTTGGAGTTACATTGTGTTGAGCAGTGTACATTAACACTTTGATTACTTTAGTAACAATGTTACTAAAACTGCAAAGTGTTGACATAAAACATTTCTCACTTTTTATATTTTATATTATAATATTAGTAGTTAAGGGGAAGTTCTTACATGTGTAACTGAATTTTTAAAGTGTTAACACGTTTAAATGGTCAATTTTTTGCTGTGGTGTTTCATGGTGAAGTCAAAGTCTCTGTAGGTGTCGCACTTGTTTTTGTTGAGCTGTGGTGGCTGTCACTAAAGTCCCAGTTCTTCTTTTTCTTATTTCAGATAATCCACAAATGCAAAACTCTGGATCAAATAGGATCTCATTCCAAGAAATGAATACCCCCTTTTATATGTATGACATAATTAAAATATTCAGCTAGCGCTCAACACAGGGCTGATCTATATTGGACACTTGTGCCACAAAACTAAAAACTCACAATACTTTGCAGTGTTGAGACGTTTATACCTTTTACAAGAAGAGGTCAGGCAGATTTTCAAATTTGTGCAGTGATTCAGGGTCCTGGACCAGGCTGCTGGTTCAGTTCAGAAACAAAAGGGGAAATCACCTTTATGTTTTAACTAGAGCATTGTACAACATTAAACATATTAATATTCAGTCAAAGGCAGCGTAGACGTTTTACACATTAACTTGATGTTAGAGTTGAGGTTCAGTAGGGTTTTTTTTTGTTTGTTTTGTTTTTTTTTACCAACTAAAAACTGGATCAGAAATTCGTTCAACTTTTGCAACCCAACCCTATTGAAATTACTATAAGTGTTATATCAACCAGTGATACAAATCAGCAGAGTAGACCTTTATTTATATGTAAATTAATTATTGCTTGAAACAAATACTGCTCATCACACGGTGACTGTTTCTTCTCCCTCCAGATGATTCTGTGGAATGGCTTCTGCGTTGCCACTGCTCCTCCCCGACTCCACACTGTTGCTGTGATGTTGGTTGTTTTTTTTTGTTTTTTTTATTTGTTTATTTTCCTCTCCTGTTGTCCACATCACCTGGATTCCTTGGGTCTCACTCGTCAAGTCCACTTTGCTCAGGAATGGCGTCAGGAATCAATCAATCAATCATTCTCTCTCTCTTTCTGTTTGTCTCTCTCTTTCTTCACATCACACCTTACAGTTTGGGGGATGATTTTGTGTTTTAAGCCAAGATAAACAACTTTTTTTGTGTCTTTCAAAGGCGTTTGGCTCTCTTCAAGACCTTGTATGTCCAGTTGAATGACAGTGATAGAGTAGCTGTTGTGTTTGTCGTTGCAGCGGTGGTGGTTAAAACTCTGCCTACGTTGCACAAACAGTAGATTGTTTATAAGAATCATCCATCATTAAAAAGGTCTTTTGAATTTTCCTTTGTTGCACTGTTACAAGGGATTCCTTGATCTTTTTTTTTTTCTTATCTCTTTAGAGGAAAGAAAAACCCAAATTAACCATCTGATTTATGCAATGAAATCACAAAATCAGCCTGAGACTTTGCAGGCCACAAGCCATCAGTGGGTGGTGTTGAGGATATATATTTTAACAGACCTTGTATTTTAATTCTTAAAACACACACATTTTTATATATATAAATTAATAATAAAAATTCCCCGGTTGTAATTTGTCATTGGCTTCAGTAAGATATCACTTTGTGTGTAAATACACCTAATTATAGGTGGATGGAAGGTTGTCACCATCAATTTCTGCCTTAGCCATGATATACTAAAGGAAAGGTCTGTTCGTTTCATACAGGTCTGTATGTACAGTATGACATTTTTCATATGAGGGAATTTTAATGCATCAGGACAAGAATTCAGTTTTCACACATAACTTGTTTTATCTGGAGGAAACCTTGTTGCGCCTCACTTTTCGTCCCGATTCGTGTTTTCCTTTTTCTTCTTCTTCGTCAGTCTCTGTTAATCTCTCTCTCTCGCCTTGTTAGAATAATACTGTGCCCTTTGCATGACTGTTATAAGCTCTGTATACAAAGACAACGATGTTAAGTGCCACACAAGCCGGGCAGATCCGCCAGGAGAGTGCCCAGGCTCGTTTTGTTCTACTTTTTTGTGGTATATCACACCTCCCAATCACATGGTGCTTTTTGTTCAGTTTCTTTCTTTTGCTTCAGCAGTCTCTTTGTCTGTTTTTATCTCATCTCCATTGTTGTTTAGGTCTACAGGTTTCTGTCTCCTCCGTTTTTAGCTAAACTCCATCTGCACGCTAAGACATCTTGTTGTGTTTGCAAATAGGAGAATAACCATAAAAACTGTATGTTACAAAAACCACAAAACATGTTGTTTTCTGAACCTGAGAAATGGGATCCAGGTGTGATACAATTGAAATAATACTCGTAACAGATCATGTTATCCTTCGGAACATTTTTGTTTTGCTTTAAATTGCACATTTTCACGCTGAAAACAGTCGACATGTCAGCACCAGCAGACAACTGCAGTAGAACTAAAACGTTTTTTTAAAAAGTACAGAACTGCAGCAGAAGTCGAAACCATACTTCTTGTCAGTAACCGCTGATTAAAGACTGTTGAATCTGAAGGTTTTATTTTAAGCGAAAGGAATTATGACTTTAAAGATTATATATGTGGAAACTCTGGGGGACAAACTGAACAAGCCAGAAGCGCTAAGGCTTCATCAACCACCCGTGTCATTTAATGTCAGTATCACTGCAGCGTCTATCATTTCAGTTTGTTTACAAGTGGGCCTCAAATGTATTCAGTGTCAGTGTACACGTAGCCTTCGGTTAGGTTACAGTACTGCAGCTTCAAAAGAAACGCTCATGTGGCAACGTGTGAGTGACCTAATGAATGAAATAATGTAGTATTATTTACGACACTAAAGCATCGCAAAGTAGATTTAAAGTCAAAATCTACCTGAATGGATTCTTCAAGAATCTTGCTGTGCTGGCACTTAAACTATGAAATTAGAGAATAAAATCTAAAATGAGACAATTTCAGACCTTTTGAGCAGGTTTGGCTGATTTTTCATTCTTTCCTATGACGACGACGATGTGTATATGGGCCGTGACAAAAGTAATGGGTGATCTGTAAACTCGTGATTTTTATATTTCTGTCAGAAAATTAGTGAAGCTAAACTCAACTTTTGATTCTTATGCTACATTTGCATACATGTCAAAAAGCAATTCTCGGTTGTACAAGCATCCCTCTGAGGGCAGAATCAAAGAACCACAGTTTAACTTTGTGTTTCACTTTTGCTCTGGCTGAATAACTGAAACTGAGTGGGGGAAGTAGAGGCTAAGAGAGGAATGCTCTACTCAAATGCATTAAAGCCATAAACGCTCAGTCTGTTGCACCTCTGACCACACCCAACAGTGATGTCACGCTCGCACCCTGAAGTACACTTGCAGCCTGATTAGAAGTTAAACCACAGGAGGTCAGCAAAAACAAGATGTTCAGATGACATTAAATTGCTCTTTAAAAGGAATCTGCAATTGTCTAAGTAAGCTAGCTAGCGTGCTGAGCTAAGAGAAATATGTGTTTGTGATTTATTGAAAAGAAAAGAACCTCTAACGCCTTATTTTACAGGTCTGTAAATTCTAAACATTCCTAAGATGTTTTCTGGAAAGATGTAATTTGGTCCTAATTCTAGGTCAATTAGAGACTGTTTAATAGAGCTACAACGAATGATAGTTTTCATCATTGTTTAATCATTCGATTATTTTGATGATTAATTGTTTTTTGTTTTAAAAAAAAAGTTCCTGGATCTTTCAGATAACCTTTTTTCCCACCAACAGTCGAAAACCCAGAGATATTAAGTTAACAATGAAGAGATAGAAAACATGTTCTGAGAGGCCGTAATCAAATGTTTAGTATTTTACTTTGATAAATAGTTCAGCAGAGTACTTGACTATTTATTTTTTGTTGATCAGCTAATTGATTAACCACCTAATCATTTTATCCGTAGTGCGTATTGGTCCACTTCCAAATGAATTCATTCCACTTAATTGCTAAGATAGTGTAACTTAGAGTCTTTTAGGCAGTACAGCAGGTCAGATGAACTGGCACAATTTTATCTCCATACAATTAAAAATTACAGCATGCATGAAAAATAAAGTTTACATTTATAAATTCATGATGACAAAAGTATACACTTGAGTTTCCCATATAATTACTCAGTTCTTTCCAGGAAACTATTAAGATAAAAAATAGAAAATAACAGATCTGTAAACATAAAAAAATTGTATACATTTATATATTTAAAAAAAAAAGTATTTCTTCCCTCTTTGATCAAACCCCCCAAAAAATGGTTTTGTTGGTTCTGTCGACAGAGATTTAACTCATTTGATGACATTTGGAAAAACGTTAATGACTGAACTGTCACTGCAGAAATGATTCTCAAATTTCACCTGAGCTGACTTTTAACGTGAGGTAAAGACTCCTCGGTCCCAGTCCTCCTCACACTCGCTGTACACACCCGTCTGTCACACAGTTATTAAATGCACTTGCTTCTACAGTAGTTGGGATGGAATTTGTAATCCAAGGTGCCTGCCAGGACTTGACTTACCTGTAGATAGTCTTTTTTTTTTTTTTGGGTGGGGGGGGAGGAGGCACTGGAAACCTTACTGGGATTAGTTGTATAAAAAAAGCTTCTGCTGAGTTCTTTGTGCAACCTGTCTGTTTGTGCCTTTTTTGATAGTCTTGATATCCAAGATTTGATGTGCAGCTTTTGTTTAGTCAGGAATCCGTTGTAATCGCAGTATATGCTCTTAAAAATGAACACAATCAAGTCAAGGGGGTGGGAGATATCGTGGGTGGGTATCCTTATCTTTCAGTTATGTACATTTTAAAGAGATTTGTTGCCACAGCTGTGATTTGTGACTGTATTAAAAAAAATGAAAAACAAACATTTATATTTTTTGCCTTACCCTTTTTCCTTGAGCCTGTGTTTTTTTTGTTGTTTTTTTTTTTTTGTGTTTTGTTTTTTGATGTTTTTGTGCAGATATTTTTATTGTAAAATGAATGTTATGTTTCTATCAGACACTAATCTTGTTTGAGTTGTCTCCAGTGGAACTACTTCACTCTGTATGTTTTGATCAGTATAAACCTTTTAATTGTGTAGTTAACGTTTCTGAAAGAGAAAAATAAAACCTTGGTTGTGTTTTAAAGGTTGACCTGCCATAGAAATTGTTTGAATTGATTGGTCAGTTTTATTTTGCTGTCGTGTGAAGGATTAGACTTGAAAGAAGCTTTTCTTTGCTATTATTAAAGACTGACTGCCACTTTGAATAATCTGTTTTTAATATTTAGTTTTTCTTTTTTGCAACTCTGCCATGACATTTAAATAGACGTTCATTAAAAACACTGTACCTTCATTAACATCTCCAAAGTCTCTTTGTAAGCCAGAGTTCAAGAAAATACGACACAGATTTCAGAAGCATTAGAGACGACTTCTTTTACTGCTGTCAGCATCTGTCATTACATACAGAACTGTAAAATAAAAGTTTCTTGGAGCGACCAAGTATACAATTAAAAGTGTGGTTAAATGAGAAGAGTGAAAATTCATAATAAAAATGATGTATTGAAGTGTGGCTGTCGCTTTTCATTTTGCAGTTGTGTTCTCGACTTAAAGGAATAGTTTGACATTTCGGGAAATTTCCTTTTTTGATAACATGTCATGTTTGTACGGTAAATATAAAGCTGCAGCCAGCAGCCTGTTAGCTTAGCAGGGGGATATAGCGAGCCTGGCTCTGTCCAAAGCTAACAAAAGCCCAACTCCTTGCACCTCTTGTTGAGAATTATTTTAGAACATTACAGCCTAAATTGTTATCATTAATTGCTAGAGAGAAGGTGGTCTGCATTGGCAGAGTAAAGTTAAGATCACTCTATAGCTCTGAGTGTGTGTGTGGTCCTCTCTGTGTCTAACTGCCCAGAGGCAGTAGCGTGTGTGTGTGTAAGCAGGCACGTGTGCTCTGGGAACAGAGTGAATGAGCACAGCAAGACATCATCAAAAACCCCAGCAAAGGAAAATGTAGAAGCTGAATTAGTGAAAATTGTGTTACAAAACATACATCAATACAGTAAGAAGGTCCTGTCTGTAGCACACAGCACAAGAGACACCAGCTTATTCCACAAAGTCAGGTTTTTGGTTAAAATAGCATGATCAGCAGAGGGCATGCCTAGGACACAGAGAGGGGGAGCATTGCAGACAAAAAGTTAGACAGAAAAGCGACAGATGCTGACAGAAATCACCGACAGACAGGATGACCAAAAAACCATCAGATGCTTGATAAAAACACGACAGAGATAATAAGCACAAAGCAGAAAGCAGCCAGCATAACATCAAGATTGCTGTAAGAAACCAAGCATTAATGAAAAATGCAACTTTACTTATGTTATTCTTATATTAATTTTTTTTTAAATATAATTGTGTGTCAAATTAAGCATGCGTAACCTTTACAAAATACGGTGAGACTGAAGTTGAAATGTAAATGATGAACTTCTTATCCAGTAGTATAAAGATGTAGAAAGTTAACAATCCAGTAATAAATGACAGCTGGGGAACAGTGTTAATTGGTAAAAACACCACAACAACAGAGGAAAAGAAGTTCATCATGAGGAAAGGAGGGGGCAAACCAGCCCAGAGGGGATATATAAGACTGTCTGCAGACCATAGGGTTGACTTCATCCTCCGACCTGCTGGGATGTTGTACGGGTTTATGTGTCCTGTTTTGGAATAAACTCTTTTGCACCGACTCTTGACCGTCTCCAGAGAAGTTTTTGTTTGCAAATTTATTGACTATAATAGAAAGCTAATGGAGTATTTTTTGACAAAGTTTATAAAGCTGGTGAAGGTGGGGACCAGGCTTAACTGGCCCAGCCTGGTCGCACATCTGACTCAACACTCTCAAACTCTAATTATTGCATTATATCATGTTTGTTTAATCCTCACAGAAAGTCTAAAAACGACACGTGGTTTTATCGGAGGTTATGGGCTGGTCTATTTCATGGCCGGGAGCAATGACTTCCTGTTTCCTGTTGCTAAGCTAACCACCTGGCTTCATGTTTACTAAACAGATGTTAGAGTTATATCTACAGTATATTAACAAATGTTTGGCAAGAAAGGTCATAAAATCAAGGTCAATCCAAACTCTTTTATAGGGGCACAGTGTTATCAAGCTGTCCATGAGTATGTGATTTAAAATAAGCAATGATGCCCTAAATTCAGAATAACCCATGCACACATCTGTCTTCATACTTTTTATTTGCATTAAATGTTCATTAAATTCATAATCATTGAAGTTCTGCAAAAAAAATTCAACACTTACTTTATTAACTATGTTTTGGTCTTCTGCCCTTCGTTAGATAAAATGTATTCATTGATTAATTTTCCTTCACAGCTGAGGTTTTATTTGAGATAGGCCTAATCCACTTTTGGCTATGCACGTTAAAAACTGTGTTTTTGTCAATGTCATTATTAAAAGTGTGTGTTTTTATTATCACTTAATTGCTATGGGCATAACTCTGTTGATAGTGCCACTGTTACCTCACATATAAAAGATCCCGTACTGTGAGCGTGAAATTTGGGGAAAAGAGAGCACTGATATTGTATCAGAAACTGAGTTGAAGTGTTGGAATCAGTAACAGAAGAGGAAATAATGAAATTGGAGTATCCCTAGATTTGGATCCTACACACCTTTCAGTAAGAATAGTAGTTGAAATGACATCACCTGTAAAGATCTCAATGGACAAAATCATGTTTTATAACAGCTGAATAGTAATTACAGAAAGATTTGTAATGTTTGTTCCCGTGAGGACGTCTCTCTGTCATACAATTCCTGCTGGGTTTTTTTTGTTTGTCTGCTGTGTGTTTTTTTTTATAGTAAATCAGTGTTTGGATTCAGACATGATGCAGAGAATATATGAATGATCAATAATAATACACTCTACAGGGCTTTTCAAAACTAAGTTACAAAGTGCCTAATGTGATTTAATTAAAGAAATTCAGGAGGCAATGAGGCAAATAAAATCAGCAATAATCAGAGAAAAACAATAATCAAACAGATAATAAAATAGTGTGCTAGCTTTCATAAAACGATTTTTTAAAAGATAAAATAAATCATCTTTGATCAAGAGGAGTCGGTAAGGATTTTATCAGTTTTAAGAAAAATGCATAACCATAAATGCAATAATGTCGAACCAAAAACGGGAAAGTCCTCATGTTCAACAGATTACTGCTCTCTGTAGCTGCTTTATGCAACAGTGTCCTTTAGAGTGCGCTGGCGTATCAGTTATTAACATCTACTGCAGTCTTTCCTTTGTCCAGTCAGCAGTCTGATTCATAAATTAATGCCATTCAGTTTTTTCCCATAACAAGGTCAACATTCAGTTCATCTATTTTTCTATTACAATCTACGAACATCTATATACGGCCATTTACTTTACAAACCCAGTACACTAAATCAAAATAAATACAGTGAATGATAAGAAAAAGGAAACAGGCAAGAAAACGTAAACTTGTTTGTAAATGTAATATGAAAATCATCATTATAATCCTTACATAAATATATATGATAAAACTAATGTAAACACCAGTATTAAACATCAATCAACTGTATTGATTTTTGAGAGGTTTGTTTACTTGCTCTTCTGGACCACGTGCTTGCAATGCGACCACGCATGCGCACCATGGGGCTTTTGGCGTTTAGTCCGTTTAGTCCCGCGTGCGTGTGGGTGTCGCGCACAGCTAAAAACAACCAGCCACGCGAGCGCGCTGTCCAGAGTCTGGCCGCGGGTTGATTGGCTATACCCTCTAGCCCCGCCCTCAACCGCAGCGGATTGGTCAGACGGCGAGTCGTCTTCGCACTGATTGGACGCTATTTGTAGAACAGGCTGTGTAGCTAGGCTACTGCTCCCTTCACTTACCTCTCAAAAGATCAAATTTAAGAATTTTAAAAGATGAAGACGTGCTTTCGGTTGTTTTTGGTCAGAAGCGACATTCAGCAGACTCTGCTTAACGTTTTGGATGTTACAGAAGCTACGTGATAACTTAAAGCTGAATAGTGAAAGCAAAAACATAAAAGTGATTATTTAATACTGGTAGCATCTGTTGACATGTCTTCCATGGTTTCTGCTTTTACCCCCGAGGAAAATAAATAAATATATCTACGTATTATCATGTCATGACAACCTGTGACTTTATACAGTCTATGGTCATCATATGTACAACGGGAAAAACACAATTTCAGACACACGAAATTAGGTTACTTTGGTTGTGTTCTTCGTTTTTGTTCCACGGTGGTAAATAAAAACTTCACAAAACGTTGACGACTAATCATCAATCAACCATCACAATGACAACTGAGCAGCTCCTTCCCCTGAAAAAGACAACCAGATGTGGCTGAAAGCTTCAGAAGCAAGTAAGTTACAGGCTACCCTGTCCCATTGTGTTTTTGTCTGTGTTGTTTGTATTTTTGACTATAGATGATTGCATTATATTCCTGTGCTTTACGTGTTAAATGGCTGTCCGCAAACCAAGTTTCCTTTGAGGTGATAGTGTGGAAGTTGTTAAGACATGTTCCACGTTGTTGTTGTGCGCCCAATTCTTAACTCTCCAATTTCCGCCAGCACTTAAAGGCTTCACCAGTAGATGAAATAAAACACCGCTTCTTCTGCACTTTTTTTATTTATGTTTTTGGCCAAAACCAGCTCTCGCAGTTGATCCAAAAAAAAAAGGACGCAAACACTTGACAGCAGATCGGACAGTCTTGTTGGACAGATGTGGGCTCGTGAATGTTTCTGTGCATTATTCAAAGCGCGCTGCGCATCACAGAGCTAATTAGGATTTCAGTATAAATAAGGCCGCAGACGGGACAGCTCGGCCTGTCCTGCTGCTGATGTCGGAGAGCTAAAGGTATAGAGGTTAAAACCCTTCAGAAAGCTGCAAGCTGCTCCAACATGCACACACTCTGACCCTCCTCACGGATGGGACTCTATTCAATCCGGACCCACAAAGAGATCCCGTAAATTCCACGGTTTAACGCAGAAAGTGAAGATCCACCGAGGAGATTTGATGTTTTTGGAGACTTTTTAATGGCACTCGGCCCGACCAAGACAGACTGCTGCTACCTTTATGGGACGGTGAAGGTATCTTTATTTTTTTATTTTCTGCTAATGTCCAGATTCTTGCAGCTCGAAGTGTTTTGGGGGCGAGTGCCAGTGACCTACTGGAGGACACGCGCGTTTGTCAGAATAATCACTGTATTTGCCCCTTACAGACTTTTGTGACAAAGTGTGTATCCGTGTATTGAGTTTGTAGCTGTTATACTTTGTTATTTTATGTTTGTTTCCTGTTTGTTTTCTTTCCAAGGGATTTGTACTTTTTTCTGTAGGCCTATTTATATCGTCTTTAAATTCATCCTAATGTTAAACTTCTTGTGTTTTGGGATTCTTGCAGAGACACTTAGACTATGTAATGCGTGAAAAACACAATTTCTTTGATAATCTTATAATATTTGCAACATCGGCCTACTTTTCTAGAAACTTTGTGGTTTTAATGTCGTGGTTCGTGATATTTTTCAGTTTCCTGTTCCTTAGGGTGACAGTTAAGTAGCATTTATATAATTGCAGGCCTATAATAACCCGCTTACGTGAGTGATAAGGGTACAATGCCTCCTTTCTTTATTGAGAAGCGTTTTGCAATTTGATCTTCGAGTTACATTCAAGATCAAAACAACCCAAACCGTGCAGCTCAGTTCAGCTGCTTATTTGCGCTATCTCCGTTATGATCGGTGATCTGTGCGGCTCTTTGGCTGCAGATCTCGGTCAGTTTTGGGGGGGCTTATGATGCCACGTGAACAGGCGACAAAAACACAGCGAAGGGATGGATTTCATAACGCTCACGCGCGCACGGCCTGCATCTCCGAGGGTAGATGCAGTGTGCAATGTTGTGTTTACATGCATCCTATGGTGAAGCAACGCATTTGAGGGTTCTATTCAGGGTATTGCTACATAGCTTGACAGGGCTTGAGCTGCCCTGTCAACATTTTTTTAATGAAAGGCAGTAAAAGATTAAAAAAACAATGTTGTTGTAGTTTTGAGAGGCTGACGCGCGTCGTCGACGTCAGCCAGCAATGGTAGGACGAGAGAAGGCTTTTATTGTTGTTGGGGTTTTTGTATTTAATGCCATCATTCATTGCATCATATTTCAAATGTCGGTGTATTCAATGTCAGGATGATGCAGGACGTGACACACAAACAGTGCAGCAGCAGCTGAAGGAGTGGAGGAGGCGGTGGTGGCAGCGATCAGGCTGCTGTTTTTTTCATTTTAATTAATAAAATAAAATAAGAATTCCAGCTTTGCCTCACATGTCAAACCCTAAAGAAATAGCCCACTCGAGGAATCGATTGATCTGTTTTTAAAATGGAAAGGAAATTGTTTTGGTTCAAAATCTCAGAGAGCTGTGTGGCTGTTTTTCAAGAATAACCACCTCATCATATTGTTATAGTGTTTCTAGGTGCTCAGTTATGAATCGTGTTTACCTGTTCTGCTTTGTGGTGTTTCTACTCCCACATGGTGTCCAGATAATATCAGATTGTAGGCCTACTTGAGATAGGCCTATTGTGTTTGACATCCTTATAAAACGTGTCAGGTTCCTTTTCCTGAAAGTGTTTTAACCATTACTGCCACTTAATCTGTCCACAGAGTGATTAATCGTGGAATAATGTATCATGAGAGTGGTCATTTGAGTGAAAACCGTACTGAAAACTTACAGAAACAAAATGAGACTTTGCTTTCACATAATTCAGAGAGCTGCAGGTGGAAAACCAGACATGACAAACAAAAATAATTATTTTTCATATCAGAGAAGGAAGAGGAGAGAGATTCATATTCTCATCTTGTATTTATTTACACATCCGGGTAACTGCGTGCTCCCTCCTCCCCTCAGTGGCGCGTTCATGCCGCATGGGAAATAATTTCTCAGCAATAACAAAACAATGACTTTCAGAGCTTTGTTGTCTTGCAACTAAAATATATGATTTATTTTGTTGTTTGTGGTGAATAATTCTCACCTTTGTCACACAAAGATAGTTTATATGTGATGCATTTGAGGTAATGTTTTACAGCAGACTTAATTAATTAATGTTTTTTGAACGTCTAAAATTCCTTGACTTCCACTTAAAACTTCCTAATAAAAGCTGGGTTTCAGTTGCCAGTCAACAACCTGAAACCTTTAGTGAAACACACATGTGGAAATATGGTTCTTTTATTTAAAATAATGAATACAAAAGCAGCACTATTCATTTGTTTTACAAGGACAAAACTAAGAAAAAAACCCATAAATATTAACTTTCAAATCTAAATTGAACAGCCAAACAGATCCTGAAGTTGCATAAATGAAGCTATTTACAATAGGAATACAGCAGCAAAAGAAAGTGGAAGAATAGAGGCATAGTATAGATAAGTAATCTTGAAAACTGGAATAGCCTACAATATATTGGTGATGGCGTCATGTTGAAGTTGCAATAAATAATTGCACCTGAGGGAATGGAATTAGGTAGAAAGTAGTATAAAATGTTTAAGAACAAAAAAAATACATATAACCTGAAATTAATGGAATGGCTACAAGAGTAAACATTTTATTTCTACCTGAATGCTACTGTCTACGTGGTTCCCATCGTTCCCGAGGGAGCCTGAAGGCAGCGCAGCTGCCTATTGGCCAGCACGGCTGTCAATCCCAGCACCATCTCCCTCCCACGTGGTGACGTTTCCGTACCAAAGTAACCAGGCCAGTCCATTACGCACACAAAAGCCAAACAAAAGCCCGTGTTGGGAAAAATGAGATCCGTCAGCACCCAAAGGACACAACAATAAGTTCCCATCTGGCAGCATCACACATGGACCAGAGCCTGGGACGACGACAATCATTTATTTAACTCCAGAAAGAAACCTCTCAACAAAACATCTCTCTCTCTTTCTCCAGCAAGCAGTTTTCCACCAAGCTGCGTCTTGCTCAGATCTGACCCAGGTGGTGAGTACAGCAGCAGGGCAACGTTTACCTGAAAGAAAAGCAGCAAACACGGTTTTGGTGTCGTGCTGTATTCACAGGCTGCATCAGGTTCGGGAAAAAACAAACAATAAAAACCCAGCCAGAACAGCGACACTGTTGCACTTGAGCTGGCGTCGTGCTCTTTGTTGGGGATAAGCACATTTAGAAGAGGAGGCGGCGGGGAGGGGGGAGTTTGGTTGCAAAAGCCTTTAACGTCAAGATGAACTTATTTAGATTAATCTTAAAACGCATGTGTTGCTTTTTTAGGTTACATTCGGTGGTGAGCGGAGCGAGTCTTTTGTCTGGACACTTCTTCCTGTTAGTGGTTACCAGAGACGCACAGTGCGCTGCCTCTTTGTTTTCACTTTGCTCAGTTTGACTATCAGCTGTTTCTGCTGGGTTACCTGTAGACTCATATCACGGCTCCTTTCTTTAAATGTAGTTTTCCTTATGTTTATGGAAAGAACGTAATTTAATTAAACGAAAAAATAAAAATGACCTGTTACCAGGTGATGGTTGAAACAAAAGTGACCCAGGACTCTAGAGCCAGAATATTATCTTGCAAGATTCAAGTGTTTTTCAGCTCTTATGGTTAAAGAAAATGCTGAAAAAGGTTAAAGTAGCCCCATAAGAAGTGAACACAAATAAGACCACGTGCTGTCAGACACCCTGGAGTCAGCAATTTGGCTTTGCAGGGGTCCAAAACAAACAGCTCCACAGATGCTTACTTGTCCTTATTTGGTATTTATGAAGAAAAAAGCAATGTATGTGCGTCATGCTGTCTGTGTGTGTTTGGGTGTGTGTGTGTGTGTTGGGGGTGGGGGGTGGGGGGGTGTTAAATGCAAATAACAGCAGGCTATTGTGTGTGAGAGACAACCCTTCCTCTGTAGCAATGCACTGCACAAAGCTGATATAATTACTGATGGCGATGATGCTGAAGACACACTTACAAAGCTCTTGTGTGTTTGTATTTGTTTACCTTTCCCCGTGCACGTGCAGCCGAGGTCATTCATAAAGGGGATTTTGTCCTTTTCATGCTGGGATTAAGCCTCAGGCACCTGTGTGCACAGATTATACAGTATGGATGTAAATATAGCTGGTCTGGTGCTACTGGGTTGGACCGCCAGTTTCCACCTTCCTAGCAGTATTGGGGGGGGGGGGGGGGGTGTGTGTGTGTGTGTGTGTGTGTTTGCAGAGCAGCCTTGCTTCACGTCACGGCTGCTTCCTGTTGAGTTGCGGAAGCTCCTTTGTTTTCTTGTCTGGCTGATGGCTTCTGTCTCGGCGCTGCTGCTCTTCCTGTTGCAGCATATTGGGCTCAAGTGGAAACTTCTGGAGCTGCTGAAGCTCGTTTTCATTGTGTTTTCACTTTCAGGGATGCAGCGGAGTTAACACAAAGGTAGCACCTTTGTTAGGCTGTGGTGGTGGTTGGTTAGAGTGTGTTTAGCCTGTGGGCTGCAGCAGACAATATATTTTTAAGACGAAGATAGTTGTTTTGGGGTTTTTTTATCAATAGAAACATGAAAATAAAACCCTGACACTCATGACATGTCTGTTTTCTGTTATAAATGACAAAAACTCCTTTTAAAAGAAGTGTCTGGTTACAAAATGGGGTTGACAGAAGCATAAATACAGTAAATACAATACCCTGCTTAAGTACTCTACCCTACTTTTTATACTTTATTTTTACTCTCAATACTGGTGACAGTGTCTGGTATTTGCCCGCGGAAAACGAAACCAAAAGTGTGTTTTTTAATAGGCTATATTTTGGTAGCCACTGTGGATGACCAGATAAATAGCACCACCTATGGGCATTAACAAACAACAACAACAAATGTCATTGTCCCACCTACAGTGTTGACTGACAGGTGATCCATGGAAAAATTACTGGCATCCTTAAGTAAAAGTGTTAATAAAGCAATGTGAACAAACTAGTTCTTAGTCTGAATAGTTTTTGCTAAATATTTACCCCCACTAACTTCCAGATGTCACTGTTGTGTAGCTAACTAAACCAACTCACGCTAACTTGCTAATACCAGACTCGTTAAGAATAAAAACAAGATAATGAAATATGGTTGACATATCTGACCGGAAACTTAATAAATGCAGTTTAATAATGATGTACATCTTGGAGGACACAGCATAGGCTTACTACATTATGCTAACAATGCTTGACAGAGTAAATAACATCAGTTGGGCTTGCACAATCGCATATTTCTCCCTCATTCTCCATGTAGGCAGATATAAATCATACAAAGTAATACCTGCATTCACAGAAATGTATCTTTTGCACTGCTAAAACTGTAATTTTTGGAAGGTATGCTAGCTTGTGATGCTACATCGACTTTCTGTTTACTAGCCAATTGCTCTTTATTGGACAGATGTTTCCTAGCAACAAAGTTACACATTAATAAGTATTTGTTAAAGTTAGGGTAGGAAATGTTGGAGAAACTAGCAAGTGACAGCTAGACTTTAAAAGTATCCAATCTAAACAATCCTCCCTCCAAAGCCACTTCACCAAAACACATTTGCAATGAGTGATCAGACAGACAGGCTGGTACGCCATTACATTACGTGCTTATTACTGCCACCGATAATCAATTATTTTCATTTGTGTGTCGGAGAATTAGAATTATTGATTGCTGTCAGGATGTAAAGAATTTCTACAAATTTAACAAATAATGGTTCTGAAATAAATTGCCTACTATGAACTTAGGAAGGAGTTTGCGTTAAACATAGTAATGTTTATTAAGGTAAAAGCATTATTAGCAAAGTGTACTTAATGTATCAGAAGCATTCATTATGCAGCAGAATGGACATTTTAATGTTTCAGTTGCTTAAGAGGGAGCTAATTTTAACTTTGTCTCCCCATCTGGCAATGAGAGTAATTACACAAACACTGTCCACACGCGTCTACAGGTGACAGGCCTCTGTAAACTGGTTGTCATACCAGACCAAGTAAGGCTGTCCAGCATGTATTGAATTCAGCAAAGGTGTGCCCTGACAACTTTATAAGGTGATAATGTCATATTTTGTGTTTATAGCTTGTTCTGCTGCCCCCAAGTGGCCAAAAAATTTATTAATGCAGCTTTATATATCAAGCAATCAAACCTAATTTGACTCAATTCCAAGTGCTATACAGATGACTGATAAGCTGATAATAAGACAGTAGAAATGGAAACAGTAAAATAATTTGAGACTAATGCATACAGGAAAAAAATGTGGTGACAAAAGGGGAAAAAATAAGTACAATGTTCTAATAAATGTACTTACCATCACTGTCTCCAGTGCTGGTGAATTGTGACTGGAGCTGAATGTGTTTAGATCAAACCAAAGTCTTTATCAAAACTTAATTTCCACGGTGACCTTTGAGCAAGATCGCAATACAAAGTGCTTCATTATAGAAATGGGGGGGGAAAAAAGACTAAGATGAAAAAATAAACTAGTAAGAGGCCTGTTATATGAGCAAACCTCTGTAACCTCAAACCTCAGTGTCCACTTAATAAAGAAACCAAACAGCCATCATCTCTGAACACAGACAGCAATGTTTACAGGAACAACACTACAACAATATTTCCATGGTCAGCTGAGCCTTTTAGATCCCTCTCGCTTTTAAGCCACAGACACAAACACACAAACAAAACAATTAATAATGATAATTCAGTAGACAAGATAAATAAAAGGGGTCATTAAAGGCGGTAGGCACCATGGAGACCAAGGCATCAGTGTAAAGAGGGAGGGAAGAGGGGTTATTTAAATAGAAATAAAATAAAACATAATTGGCCTGTTTGACGATGTGAAACTTAAATTCTATTTGTGCAACGTATGTAGATTTCTTCTCATTTGACCTCTTTTGAGGAAATGAATTACCCTATGAGTGTCCATGTTAAGAAGGGATTGTTTCATAGGCATATTTGGTCAGCTGGAAAATCCAAATTCTTGCCACACCAAAGTCCAGACAGCAGTACAGTAGGAGGTGGAGCAGGTCTTCATTCTTGTACACCTGCAGAGATGTTTTTGTCAGTCTGAGTCAGACATTCATTGTGTCTTTGCTGCACTGTCTCATCGGCTATTCTAGTTTGTCCTGTGTATGAACTGAACTGATTCTGTAGCGCTGTTCCTCATGCAGCCCTGCTGAATTCATCTGAGCCACAAAAACATAATAAAGCTTCTGTTTAGAGAGGGCTTTTTTTTTCCTTTTAAAAGTATATTTCCAGTTTTTTACAACTTGATATATATTTTTGTAGTTTTGGCTTCTGTTGGTTATAATAACATTGCTGAGATCTAGGAACTAAAATCAAGTCCAACAACAAGAAACCCGAGCAGTCAGATGATCCGACAGATTGTAAACAAACGCAGAGGTTAGCCAAACTTATTTGTAAAGGAAAACGAAGGCAAACAGTGGAATTATTGCTCAAACCGTCTGTTGTAAACATCAGTTAGAGTTTACTGTACTGTAAAGTTTTCCTGCACCATTAACATTTCAGATGCGCGTACTCTCAGTTTTCTCCCTAAACAATGTGGTTTGGAAAATCTGGCTCAGCTGTTGGCTTTTTGACAACCTGTCTGATTATCTAAATTAGTTATTTTTCTTGCCCCATCTAACTTTGCTGTGACAATTTTACCATATTCTCAGATCTGAGCAATTACTACTGGGATACAATCTCTTAATCATAATCGATAGACGTGATCGGCCAATACTACTACTATAAGACCCAAGTTAAATAAACCAGAATTATGCCAACAAACTGCAGGTGATAATTAGCCATTGGACTAAAGCTGGTTAAGTTAAAACCTATTTGACTTCTACAAAAACTCATCTCTGTGTAGTATTTACTATGTTTCCTCTTTATTTCAGCTGACAGGAGTTAGTGACAATAAAATTGCACAATTATCAACAGTTCAAGTTTACACCTTTTGTTATATCTTATGCAATAATCATCTGAAATTTTACTTTTGATTTAAATAATACCCAATAATTAAAGAGAAATACAGGACTGGAGTAATTGAAACACTAAACACAAATTCTACAAGAAGACACAGATTGTCCTTTTGAGGAATTTTGTGAATAATTACATGATTTAAATTTTTTTTTTTTTAATGCAAACAAATAAAACAACTCACTTTTATTCCAGAAGCTACAATAATCGCAGCCTGCATCTATCAATGCTGTGGGACAGAACAAACAAGGTCTCGCTCCTGTCTATGAATAATATGAATAAGAAAACAGTTTGGGACCAAGTGAAACATGGTATGTGGCGTTACATAAACAAGGGTTTTTCATTAAGTTACATCACCACGCAGCCATGTTGGTACTCAGCAACATGCGATTGTAATCACATTATAGATTATTGTAATCAAATGATTGCTTGAGCAAATGAGCTGTGTTTATATTGGAAATACAATCAAGATCAGGAGCTCTATAAATAGAAACTATGGAACGTGTCTCTCACCACATCTCCTGTTTTCCTTTTCCCCCTACAGGTTTGATTTTCTCCTGTGGTGTCTGTGTGGAGCGTGCCACACACCCACTCCACAACAACGACGGCTTTTGCTTGCATCTTCCAGTGTTTCTTCTGTCAGCAAGTCCAGCAGAGCTGCAACTCTTCCAGTGCCAGCCCTGACACCAACGAGGAGCCCTGCCCCACTGACATGGTGAAGATGACCAAGTCTAAGACCTTCCAGGCTTACCTGCCATCTTGTCACCGCACCTACAGCTGCATCCACTGCCGGGCACACCTGGCCAACCACGACGAGCTCATCTCAAAGGTACAGCAGCTCCACACGAGTTCACTGCTCATCCGGTCCTCCCTGTCCTTCACCTAAGCCACCCTGCAGCATTTTTACATGACATTCAATTGGACTGTCTATACAGGAAAAAGACTACAGGGCACTTGTGTTACAAATCTCCCAGTAACTATTTGGTGCCATCATGAAGGTCACCTGGGAAAACATAATTATTACTGAATAATACATAAATATAAAAGATGCACTCATCAGCTGTGAGTGCAGACCATTCAATATTCTTATTAAATGTATTGTAAGTCATTTCGATTCATTTCAGTCAACAACTTTGCACCGTTGACCAACATCAAACTGTGACAATGCTGACCTCTGTGCAGTTATGAGACAAGAGTCAATGGGACAACTACATCTTTTGAATTTATTGTCTTGTTAGCAACTGAACTAGCTTGCTGACAGTTGACAGTTGGACATCATGCTTTCTAACTGACTGTTAACTTTTGTGACTGTCACTAGCACGTTCCCAACTGACCATCATGTTAGCTCAGCAGCTACAGTGCGATAGTTTGCAAACTATCCCTGCGACATATTCGTACTTGCAGGGATGCATTCGTGTACTACACTGTGCCACTTTCTGGTGTGACCTGGGCTTTAAGAAGGTCTGTGTGTTAGCTAATGTTGTGCTCTTTACACATGCTGCAGACATGGAGCAACATTCATTTGAAGTCTTGTTACAGCTCTGGTTCGGTCTCAATCAACTTCTGACAATAATATGTGGATCTTCAGCTGTTACATGCTCCACTGTGTTTAGCTAGTTGCTAACTATGTGTGGGTGCTGTTTGGTGCTGGGTAGTTTATCCGAGCTTGTTTGTTTAAAAACAGCTGCATGCTGCTGTTGGAAACAAGTTTGACGAGACTGAACCATTTAGTAAATGTGCCATAAAGCCAAACAATGAGCTGAAAGAGGCTGAAAGAGTTGGCTGATCATTTTCTGTATATTTGCGTGTACTGGCGACTCTTTTTACATTACATTTGACATTTGATTCAATGTTAATATAATATTTATTAAATGCAGCACTTGAAATAAGTGGTACTCATGGAGCTGACTGAGAGGCAGACTGAGAAACATGTTCAACATTTAGTGCTTGTGCTTGTCAGGTTAGTACAAAGTACAACTGTTTATATTGTTTTTGGGGTATTATTGTCTTTACACTTGTTAAAGCACTTTGTAACTTGTTTTTGAAAAGTGCTCTACAAATAAAGATAATTATTATTATTATGATATTAAAGGTTTTAAGGGAATTGGCAATTTCATCCAGTTTTACATGATCTAAATAAAACACTGATAAATTCAGACTCCTCTGGATGTCAAAGTGTCTTGGTCTCCTTAATCATCTTTTGGATGACATTATGAACCATGATAATAAAATGTGACAATGTCACTTGTAATATTTGGAAAGTAATAAATCTGTGCTCGGATAAACTGTGAATTCTCACTCAGCAGGGACTCAGCAGTGACTGAGTGTTGTCCTCTCGTATTAGCTGTGGCAAATGGCACTTTGGGTTTGACAGTAATTTAAGTGTATTTGATGCTCACCTGCCTCATTGCATCTCCAAAGCTCGTGTACCTGTCTTCTCCCACATCTGTACTTTATTTCTGCCGATAAATTCTCAGAGGCTTGGGTGACAGACACTGCTGGCGTTGTAACTGAAGTCGTCTCTGTGGTGCACAAAAGAGCTGGTCAGTCTTTTAAGTTTTGCTGCTTGGCTATTTTTGTTTTCTGTCGCTCTTTTTGAGGCTGCATTTGAGCTGAAAGTGCTGCTGTGGCTCACTGAGGCCTCAGAGGCTTACTGTCAAAATATGAGATGAATAATCAAGACAATCAGGCTTCAGATCTGCCTCATTGCCCTCATGTTTTCTGTGAAAAATTAACTTCAGTGAGCTGTTTTTGTTGTTGGTCATATTGTGTCCTCTTCGTCATTCAGAGACTGCTGAATCTATAGGTCAAAGGTGTTATCAGTGTCACCACTAATCATTAGTTTCAGTATTTATTAATTTTGTTTCCTTTGTTTGATCCTAATTAGTTAAGATGGAAGCAAATAGTCACATAAGCAAGTCTGTTACTTTGAAATGTTTGTTTATTTGGCAAAACACCTAAAATAATAAACCGATTAATTATTTTATGTTAATCAACTAACCAATTAATCGACTAAACTTTTCATTAGTATACATTTTTGACACGTTTGTGACAAAATCTGTGTCAAAAAACTTTAATTTCTCACAAATTAGCCAATATTTCTGAGTCAAAAAATTATCTGTATATCGTCACTAGATTTGTGTAATAAATGTGCCTGAGGCTGCACTTCTCCCTCTATCTTAACATTTAGGAAGATCATCATCATCATCATCTGTACCAGTCATGCACTCCTGCTGAGCGTAAACATTTTGAACAAGACAGTTTGTGCTGCTCTAATTTCATAGAAATAAGACGTGTCGGTTGTTTAATGCGCGGTTTCTGTCAGATTGTTGTCAGAGAAGCTCGTCTCTGTGAGACTGTGACCTGAAGGGAATCCAAATGACAGTTTATTATAAGTGTCAGAAAGAGTGTGGAAGTGCTGGTTTGAATTTAAAGAAGATCTTCTCAAACTAATATTCAAGGAGAATGTCTTAAAGAAGCAGAAAAGATATTTGCAAAGGCAAAGTGGAAATAAACCTTGACTATGAGCTCTGAGTTAAAACGACTTCTAAACATAATGCAAGCAAAATGATTCGAGTCTATATTTATGAAAAAGACTCAATTTTCATTTGTAGTTATACTGAAACATGCCTCATTGTGTAGACTTGTTTCAGCCTTGCAAATAAATTTTCATCTACCTGTTGTTAATGTAAACAACGTAAATTCTCATTTTATTTTGTTGAGATTTCAGAAATTAGCCTAAAACTCCATCTTAGAATTACTTTTCTAGACATTAATAGGGGCCGCGTTCACAGCTAATGCTACTAAGTTATAGTGATTTTAATAGAGTCCTCGCAGTCCAGCAGATTTGCTCAATCTGAACTGAATCTGAATGAACACATGAATGGGGTAAAATCATTGAATAATATGGCTTTTCTGGACTTCACAAACTTTTTACAAAAAGTTTTGGACCAAATACATTAAATTCTGGTAATAAGAATAATTTATACACCATTTTACATCAGAATTTTATATGAGGAAGTTGCAATACCCTATGTGGCCTCAAAATCGCTGCGTGGAGCAGCCTGCCCCTGAGGGCTAGCTGATCACACTTTAGTCCTGTTTGGCTAATGCCAGTATTTCTCTGGTTGACAAGGCATGTGACTACACAGAATTAAGTGTTAGTTATGTTAAAACCAGATTTTAACTGGATGAATAGAAATTCTTTCACTTTGCAGCGTGATTCACATCCTTTTGTTTGCAAAAAGGAAGTTAACCAGTTTGAGACTCCACAAATAACAGGGAAGAAAACAACTTTAATAATAATTAAGCTTAATTACATAACATACTTCCAATCCACTGTATACAAACAATGTAGCTCAAAGGGCCTTACAATAAGGAGAAACATCAAGTCTAATTTTCACTGTGGTCACACCTTAGGAGTCTTAAATTGAGGAAGCTGTAGTTTTAGCTGATACAGTTTCATATAATATTTCTTGGGTTAAAAAGGCATGTGTTGTGCTGTGGTTTGTGCTAATTTTTTATACTTTAAAGAGGTCATATTCTGCTTTTTGGCTTTTCCCTCTCCTTTATTGAGTTATAGAGCTTTTTTGTGCATGTAATAAGTTTGCAAAGTGAAAAAGCCCAAAGTCCAGCCCAAAGGGAGTTCCCATCTCCCACAGAAAACACTGCTCTGAACTGTCTGAAAACAGCTTGATTGTAGTCCAGCCTTTTTTTCCGCTTTGTTGTGATGCCACAGCGAAACACGCGTCATAATGCTCGCCAAGTGGCTAGTCCGACACGCCCTCAAAAACACTGGTGGAAAAACACAGTGAGCTGCAGCGCACAGTAACAAGACGTCCGCCTGTTGCCTCTCCTCTCCCTTCCAAACACTAGCTACCCTCCAGGCAGTCAATGGACATAAAGTTGTTACTGTGATGTAGAGACAGAGCTCAGTTAAAACTTTATGGATGAAAGATACATTTGTTACAGATTAATAACTGTACAGAGTCCAGCACGTGTTTTATTGTGAGCATGTGAAACAGTCTCTGCATAAGAACTTTGTTGAAGAGGATTATGAGGAAAGGGGGAAAAAAAAAAAAAAAGGTCTTCAGCGTGGATCAAACAACAACTCTATGATCAGGAGTCATTTGCTCGACCAACTGAGCTAACCAGTGACACTAAAAACCACACTGTCAAACAGTCGTGTTCTCGAGATCACGAGATAATTATCCTGTTATCACGGGAAAACAGAGTAAAAAAATATTTCAATCGATGGCCACTTATGGCTTCCATATCATAGTCATCTAGATACTGCAGAATTTATAGGTCAAAGGTGTTATCAGGGCCACAACTGATGATTCTTTTCATTTATTATTAATCTCATTAGGTTAATGAATTGGCATCCAAGTACAAAGCACATGCGATCTGTAGTAGTTGGACGTCAGTTTTCATTATTTCTTTTCAGTCTCAGTCTGAATCCCATTGAATGTGTGAAGGATCCTCTTATCATCACACACTTGAAGATGTTGTGGGACCTTGATCAAATGTCAACACTACCAAATGGCTCCTTCATAAACAACTATTGATAGGTTTGTGCCCACATGCACAGAAATCCTCCCACATTCTGTCCTCAAGAATTATTATTTCTAGCAGAGACATAAACAAACATAAAAAAATAATTTTATAGTCAGATCACACCGTAAGATACTGAAGATTTAGCCCATTTGCATAAAATGAAATTGTCCTGCCAGTTCTGGTCATTTATCTGCCCATAAAGAGTGAAAAACTGAACCTGAGTGAAATACAAACTCCTGAGACCCAGCTGGACTCTGTTACATATTCTGGTTT